ACCGGGAACGGGCAGCCACCGGTGACACGGGTGGGCACAGGGACACCGGGAACGGGCAGCGGGGCAGTGGCAGCTCCGAGGTGACCCTGGAAAGGCCTCTGGGCTGGAGGTGACCGCGTCGCCATAGACAGAGAAACCCGCGGGGAAACGGTTTGGCTATTTAGCCGTGGGCACAGTGAATCCCAGGATAAATTACGTTGGAAAAGCCCTCCAAGATCATCGAGTCCCAGCTGTGCCCGATGCCCACCTTGTCCCCAGCCCAGAGTACTGAGTGCCACCTCCAGGAATTCCTTGGACACCTCCAGGGATGGGGACTCCAAACCTCCCTGGGCAGCCCCTTGGTTATGGTTTGATTCTGGTGTAATGTTAGTGTTTCTATGAAAATACACTTTTTTTAAAAAATGAGTGTTGTGAGATGTGATTAGTAATAGAGTAGGTTTAAGTTTAAAAATGAAAGAACTTAATTAAGTTACTGCTATGATAAAAGAGATACACTGAATTTAGAATGAAAACTTTTTAAAACATTCTTTTTCTCTTTATTTAAACTTTAACAAACTATAGCGAGACACAATCTTGGATTCTTGATTACGTTACTACTTTTCTGATAATTAATACTTAGTCTGTTAAGGGAGAGGAGTTTGTTGTGTTATAGACTTTCAGGAAACACAGTTGTAGCTTCTTGTATTTCTGTGTTATCCATGGTACTGTTTGGAGAAAATCTCTTATTTTGACTTTTGGTTTTTTTTATGTTACTTCTCTATCAAACCATAACATCATTCCAAAGTCTGACCACATTTTCCATGGAGGCCATTTTCCCTTGTGCCATTCCTGGTGTCCTGGGAGCTGTCGGATCCACTCCTGGCTGAGCCAGTGCCCCCCTCTTGCCTTGCAGCTGCTGCTGACCTCCTGCAGGCACTGCTCCTCGGGGGTCCTTCCCAACGAGAGGATCAGGAACATCGGGATCTCGGCTCACATCGACTCCGGCAAGACGACGCTGACGGAGCGGATCCTGTTCTACACGGGCAGGATCGCGCAGATGCACGAGGTGGGCTGAGCTCCCACCGGGATCTTCCCGGGACTTACCCTCCTCCACACTGTGTTTTTCTGCGTGAGGGAGGACGCTCAGTCTGTGCAGCGTCACTCCTGCACGTGGATTCACAGTATCATGGAATGGTTTGGGTGGGAAGAGGACTGAATGCTCACCCACCCCCTGCCATGGGCAGGGACACCTTCCATAGATCAGGTTGCTCCAAGCCCCGTCCAGCCTGGCCTTGGACACTTACAAGGATGAGATAGGAATTCTCAGCAAGGATGAGACAGGAATTCTTGAAGCAAATTCAAAGGCCTTGAACTAATTTTTTTATTTCTCCTAAGGTGAAAGGTAAGGATGGAGTTGGAGCTGTCATGGACTCCATGGAGCTGGAGCGACAGCGGGGCATCACCATCCAGTCTGCAGCCACTTACACCATGTGGAAGGACACCAACATCAACATCATCGACACCCCAGGTGAGGGCGGCTGGCAGCACCTGGGCACTGCTGATCCTCGTGGATACAGGGGGTGCGGTGTGTCTTTGTGTCCCTGGCTGTGATAGAACATGATGGGTTCAATCTGACACAGGGTTAGATGGGATGCTGGGAAGGAATTGTTCCCTGGCAGGGTGGGCAGCCCTGGCACAGGGTGCCCAGAGCAGCTGTGGCTGCCCCTGGATCTCTGGAAGTGTCCAAGGCCAGGTTGGAGGGGGCTTGGAGCAGCTGGGGTAGTGGAAGGTGTCCCTGCACAGGGCAGGGAGTGGAATGGAGTTTAAGGTCCCTTGCCACCCAAACCCTTCCATGACCCTGTGCTCCATCACTTCAGCTGATGTGACTCAGTGTGATTCCCTTGGCTGTTGCTCCTTTCCAGTACATTTGTAATTGTTATTTGTATTTGTTATCCAGGCCACGTGGACTTCACCATCGAAGTGGAGAGGTCTCTGAGGGTGCTGGATGGAGCCATCCTGGTTCTCTGTGCTGTGGGAGGTGTCCAGTGCCAGACCATCACTGTCAACAGGCAGATGAAGCGTTACAACGTCCCCTTCCTCACCTTCATCAACAAACTGGACAGGATGGGCTCCAACCCGGCCAGAGCAGTGCAGCAGCTCAGGTTTTGGCATTTACAGTGATTCCTGAAATTCCATCCCCATGGCAGGTCATTAGGAACAATATTGGAAAGGCTTCTCTTGGGAGCTGCAGTTTGGAGAATTCTTGACTCGAGGTTAAATCCTGATCTGAGCCAGGACAAATCTCCATTGTCCCAAAACCCCCAAATATTGGTGTCAGCCAAGACTTGCAGTGACCAAGGGCTGGGGTTTGATGTTTATTTTGTTGATGGAACTGTATCAGGACCACTTTGAGAGCAGCACCCTAGATCCTGGTGCTGCTGAAATTCCAGCAGAGAGGTGACACAGGTGCTTTGGATTCCTGGAGATCCTTCTTACTCCCAAACTTTCCCTGCTTAATTTGATCCATGAGATGAACTCATTAATACTCATTAAGGGAGAAGCAACTCCCTTAATCAAGCAATCAATGTCAAAGTGGTTTCCCCTGCTGCCTTTCCCATGGGAGTTGCTCCCAGGGCTTGCTGGAATACAAAAGGTGGGATACAAAGCCCTAAACCACAACTGGGTGGTTTTTATCCATTTTGGCAGATTTTGCTATTGTCCAAAGGACAAGACACAGGGATTTTGTAGGAG